TGCATTAAAGTTTATTTGTTGAAGAAGAAAACAGCGCCACTTCGGATATTCATTTCTGAATTCAACCTACCATAATTTGGATGTGCATATTAGAAACAATGTCTGTTATAAAACCATAATTATGTATATTACGTATGGTGCACCCTAATAATATTGTCAAAGCTCTCGTAAAGATTCCGGACAAGGTCAATGAAGATGATAAGCCAATTGCAGCGAAGGACATTGATAAAACGATTGATGTTGTGATAAATTATGGACAATAATTTCAAAATGATAAAAGCTTCAACTCTCCTCAACATATGCTTGAATGGGTTCGAATGGAAGCTAGAAAACTTGGGTTTGACATTGTGATTGAAAGGTCTGACAATGGGACTAGTCAAAGGCAAACTTTTATTGTGATGGCATGCGAGAGAAGTGGGAAATATGTTCCAAAAATTCGAAAGCTAAAACATGATGACACGGGATCGAGGAAATGTGAGCGTCTATTTAAATTGCATGGTTATTGTACGGTGGATGATTTATGACGGTATAATGTCATGTCTCGTATGCATAATCATGCGTTGGACACTAAGATACACGGGAATCCAATTGTATGTCGGCTTAAGACGGTAGAGAAGGAATTTATTTCTGAATTATCGTTGATCAAAGTTGCATCGAGAAACATACTTATCAATTTAAAACAGAATAACCTGAAAAGTGTTTCAAATATCAAGTCGATTTACAATCATCGTTATAAATAATGAATTGCACAAAGAGGTCTGAGGTTCAAAATGCAACATTTATTGAAATGTTTGGATGATAATCACTACGTTTCCAGGTACAGAGTTTGTGAGGACAAAGTCGGTATTCGTGACATTTTTGGACTCATCCAGAAAGTATCAATTTGTTCAATACATTTCCAACCGTCCTTATGATTAATTCGACGTACAAGACCAATAAGTATAAGCTTCCGCTTCTAGAAATTGTCGACGTCACCTCTACGGACAAGACATATTTGGTTGGATTTGGTTTTTTGGAATGTGAGAAAGAAGACAACGTCACTTGGGCGTTGGGTATATGCAAGACTTTGTTGAAGGATCCACAAAATATGCCTAAGGTCATTGTTACCGACCGAGATACCGCCCTTATGAATGCAGTTGGCATTGTGTTTCCTTCGTCAACCGCACTAATTTACCGGTATCATATAACAAAAAATGTGAGATTACGGCTCAAATCTGCAGTTGGCACCAAAGAAAAAAGGGTGAAGACGGAAACATGGTCAAATTCGGTGTTGTGGTTGAGAAGATAATGGGTGCATGGACTGATATTCTTAACTCTGCTACAAAAGAGTTGTATACTGAGAATGTGGTACACTTTAGGAACTTATGTGTCGAATATCCCAATTTCTTGAAATACGTTGAGTTTACTATCCTTGATCAGGTGAAAGAGAAAGTTGTATGTGCTTGGACGGGCCATGTTAGACATTTGGGAAACATAACAACTAATAAAGTGGAATGTGCACATGCAGGGTTGAAGAAGTGGTTGGGTGATAGTAAGGGAGGCCTTTGTAGAGAATGAGACACAGTGGAACAAATTCTCCAAAACCAACATAATGAAATTCAAACAACTTTTGGTAGAAGAAAAACTGTATTAGAACATCGATTCAAAGACAACACTCTCTATTCGCAGTTGGTTCATAACATATTCCGGGCGGGATTGAATTTCATTTTTTATGAAGTGAAACGAGCGGAAATGATAGGGCCAGATATTTTGAAATGTGGATGTATAATAAGGACGAATTATGAGCTTCCATGTGCTTATGTTATTTTTTTTAAAATTAAGCTCAATTCCCCCATACGTATGGATGAGGTTTGTACTCATTGGAAAAGACTTCGATTTGATGACTACAAGCCGACAAAGGAAGGTAAATCCAACATAACCATCACAACCGAGGTGGAAGTGATAATAGATATATTTTCTAAAGCGAATGATGCTACAAAGTTGCACATTAAAGAACATTAGAGAAAATTCACCTTTCCAAAAACAACTTATTTGAAAACCCCTTCGCAACCGGTAAAAACAAAAGGTGCGCCTAAAAAAGCAAAAAGTTCTCAGGCTGACGATTCAACAAAGCAGACTCCTTCTTATCATGAAGTTGTTGATTCAATATTCCTGGATTCTCCAACCCCAAAATCAAAAACTAGTGTTAACAAATGAGCTCGCATTTCCAAACCACCTCGTACACCGTCTATTATAAAACATCTACTACCGCGACTAATTATCTATATTGATGAGATGCTTCTTTTTATGCACAAACACATTGAACAAATTGTGGATATGAGGAGTGATGGTAATTGCGGTTATCGTGCCGTATCCGGGTTACTTAGTGATGGAGAGGAAAATCACACTCTTGTGCGCCAAACACGTGCTTCTGAGTTACAACGCATAGAGAACTCTACACTCGCCTATATGTGACTACAAAGAAATTTAATAAAGTTTATCATGATCTTGCTCCAAGTATTACCGTTCACGCATCAGTTTCTAAGTGGATGAGCTTCCCTGAAATGGGTCATCTTATAGCAAGTGCATACGAGAGGGTGTGTGTCGACTTGACGAGGTATGGATTTTCAGAGACATTTTTTCCTCTTCGGACTCCCCCGCCTAAAGATCCATTCAGCCGCATCATGTGTACTGGGTACCTTAGACCATGTCATTTTGTTCAGGTTTATTTGAAACCGGGTTATCCTATACCATGTACATTTGCAGAATGGACGACACATCATGAAAATGAGGCGAAAACTTGGCCGGATGAGTTTTTGGATAAGATGGTAAAGTTCACCAATTTCATGGAGCTTGAGAGAGAATCAAATAGGGAGAAGTCAAAGAAAGAATCATTTTTAGATTTAAGTGGTGACAATTCGTTCGGTGTATTTTAGAATGTAATCGAACCATTTTTTGAATATATTGTCGTACGAATTATAAAATCTATACGTTTCAATCCATATATAACATATTATTTATCTTTTGTTTTACAATTGTTTATTTTTTCATGTCACTTTAGTACAATTATTGATTATGAGTTCTGATTCTGCTTAATTTGGAAGTGCACTTCTGAGATGACCTTAAACTTTAAAGAAAATAACACAGGGCATAATTCAGACATGAACATCCGAATTCACCTCTTATTTTTATTTAAAAAAACGTGGTGTTTTCGGATGTACATTTTCAAAAACCCCTAATTTTGATTTAAAAAGCTTAATTCGGGTGTTCATATCTGAATTATGTCATGATAAGATTTCTTTGGTCCATATTGCTCCAAAAAGGCTATAAATTAGGTCTTCCATACCATTTATTTACCATTCACATACTATAATCAGAAATGACACAAACATATCCACCCCTCGCTTTTTCCTACTTCAGTGATGCATAATCACCTTTTCAATTCAGGTTCTTGTATGACACGTCGTTCGCTGAGCTCATTACCATAATGCATTCTCTCTTGCAATATCCAGAGAATCGAAAGGTGGTAAAGCTTGAGTATCGTTCACCTTCAATTGACACTGAAGGAAACGTAAAGTTCACCCCGTTTGAGCTCATGAACGACGACGATTTAGAGGTTATGTGGGGTACCTTTCAACAATACTCTACTAAGGATCCAATTGAGATGGATGTGAAGCTTCAAAGATCGACAGAAGATGTTATCAAGATGTTATCAAGATGTTGTGACGTCCTCAACTGCCCGTTTATAATAATATATATATTTAATTTTCTGCATAACTATTTATGTAACTTCTTTGAATTATGTTGAATGAATGTCATGAATTATGTTGAATAATATTCTGCCCAGGGATAAATTCAGATATGTATATATATCCGAAATTGTCTAACATATGACTTCGAATATGCATATCCGAAATAAATTTAATAAATCATGTTGGTGGTTCGTTCAGATAAACACTTCCAAATTTTAAAAATATTTTAGATTTTTCGCAAGAAGTCCGAAAAAAAATATACTAGATAAAGAAAGAAATTCTCATAATATAAAAATTTCACTTTGATTTCTTCCCATTGATTGTGTGTAATACACCCAAAAAAAAAAAAAAAACTAAGTGGCCGAGCTTAACAAGCCATTTTCATTTTATCACTTTGCCATTAACCTTTCTGTATTTAATAGAATAAAGTTCGAAAAAAATTATTCTACTCAAAATTCAAATTAAAATTCTTTAAAAAAATACAACTCATTAATTATTTGATTAATGCCGTTTACAGGTGAGATGATTCAATCTTTGTAACTGTGAATTAAAGCCATAAGTTGATAGCAAGTGGTAATGATCTCAACTTCCTTTTTTTCTTCTTAATTTTAATTTAAGTTGTGGTTCACGTTGGAATAAACTTTCTATCACAAAAAACATGATTCTAAAAGAGACAAGCTCCACTATAGTGAATTAGTAATGAGTGGGTCTACTTGTCACTTTCTCTTGAGCCCAACACCCAACCATTCTTGTTATTCACAAACAACATTATTTATGTAATTTGAGTGATATCTAACCTCGTGTCAACCACATCTATAATAGTAGTAATTTCTACCTAAAATATTCTATTGCATTGCTCAATTATTGAGAATAGAATTGGCTAATTACAACAAGCAAAGTGTCCTTTTGCTATTGTAGTTTCTTAAAACGCCCTTAGAATAACCTAATCAAGATTTTGCAAAATTGACCAATACTACAAACTAGAAGTGGCACAAGAAAAAAATAATATTATAGTTTTAAATATCTGGAGAGAGATTTAGTTTTAGTGTGCGTTTGATTTTATAATTGAAAATTTTAAAATTGATTTTTACAACAAGACCATGCAATTTTGAATGTATCAATCTGATTTTTTTTACTTATTCAGAATCATGCATTATTATCTAGACGAATGGAAAATAACATTGTCTAAGAAAAAGTTCAAAAATATGTGCATTGATAAAATTACATGAAACAAGTTTGCACTAAGAACTTCCGCAAGCTCATTGTTATCTAACGAACAATGGATGCAACAGTATGAGCCCAGTATTTCAGATTATGTTTCATATCAATCTCACTACCCTTATCAGGAACCTTACAATTCAACAATGGATTTCTTCTCCCCCTTAGGTCTACCAAATCCCAAGCTTCAGATAAATAAGGCGTCTCATCAGATACAATCTTCTTCTGTTCTTCATCATCTTCTTCTTTTCCTAGTCTTTGTAAACCAGGTATCAATGAAGCCAGTGTTGAATCTTTGTCTTTCTCAGAAAACACAAAACCCAAATCCATAAACCCTTTTAGTTCTTGAAACTCAAGCTCTGATAAACTTCTACTTTTCCTTCTCCTTCTTCTCTGATTGTGAGTGTTGCTCTGTTTTTTCTTGTTGTTTATATCTTTCTTTTCCGTGCTTGCCCCATTTGAGAATTTTGTGATTTCTCTCTCAGAAGGGATTGTTCGAAGCTTAGATGAAGTGAGGACAGAATTCGGTGATGGAGAATCAGAGAAAGCCGAGCCTGTGAAACTCAAGTTTTGTTCACTATAGAACCTAACATCTAGATTTGGAGGTTGAACTAAGATGTTTGTGTTTTGAGGAAGAGATTCTTCTAGTTTTGTGTGAGAATTTGAAGGGTTTTTGTTGGTGAGAATTGAAGTTTCAAACCAGAGGGAGTCGAACAACGTTAGAACTTGTTCTGTAGACATTACTTTGTTGTGTGTTAAAAGTGAAAGGCTTGAAATTTTGAAATTATGTTTTAGAAAGATATGACAAGGTTGGAGAGAGTTATTACAAGTTTGGAGATAAGAAGATAAATTGTCAATGTATGGAAGGTTATATTACATTTCTTAATTGCCTATGATTTTCTACTTTTGTTTTATTCCCATTTTATTCGAATATGAATTTTGAGAAGTTTCGGGCAACTTTCTTGTTAATTTGTGGAATTTTATGAAAATCATAATTGTTTTATTTATGGTAATGAACAACATGTTTGGTATGCATGATAAAAAGTGATATGACATGATAATGGGATTTCTTTAGCAATAATTAGATATTAAAAAAAAACACAAATAATCATGTTTCAGAGAAAATTACGCAAATAATTATGTTTCAGAAAACACTTAAACAAAGGAGTCAAGTGAGATGTCGCATCCTCTTTAATTTTATATGGAGGCGTTAAGTGAAATGACGCATAGGTGCAATGTGTTTGCCCTAAGCCATCTCAGGTGGCGCCTAAGTGCATTTAAGTTCCTTTTTTTTGTTTTCTATTTTAAATAAGAGACAATAAGTAAACGACATAGCTTAATGAAACTTCGATTTTTCATTAACAAATGAACTATTACATAATGAAAAAAATCATGTATATTATTTAGTTGTCCCCGGGAACTCGATAACGACCCGTGGTTCCGCACCCGCGTCCTCATCCATCTCGTGGTGGGTTTCGTCGATTTTCCTGTTGTGGTTGGGTCAATGGTCCGGTAAAGTTAATGCGTTCAGGTTCCATGAAATCTATCAGATCACCATATCTGGAAGATCCGCTTTGGTACAGTCGGTTACCCATGCCTTCAAAGTTTGGTCGTCTTGGTGGGGGATAGGGTTCTATGGATGGTCTATAGCACTGGTCGTCTGAGTAAGGGAGATAAAAAGAAAATGAATCTTGGGGTGTTTGATATTTCGATTGTTGTGTGCTATGGTGATGTGGTGGTTGATGGTAAGTTGGGTCTGTTGGGTCATATTCTTCAGGAAAGCCTAGATCTGGGCTAAGGTGAGATGATGAGGGACCCACATCGGGATGTTTAGAAGACTGAAATTATGTGGGGGGCATGTGGGTGTATGAGTATTGAGATTGGGATTGGGGTTGGGTGTGGGGCATATGGATGTATTGGTATTGATGTGGTGATTGCGGTTGGATGTTTATGGATCTGTATCATCGTGGTGTTTGGTGGAAAGTTGATTTGTGTTGGGTTTATTGTTGGGGATTTGAGGTTTCTGCCTATTATGTTCGTGGGTCGACCAAATACCTCGGGTGAGACACATGCATTTTTGGGTTAGTAACCGATTTATACCAATCAACATATTGATCTGTGTGTCGCATATTATTCCAGTTGAGGAAAACAGGGAATTGTAAGACATGTTGGTGACGCCTATGCCACATCTTACACCATTCTGGAGCAAAATCTTTCCAATTAGTAAGACCCCATTGGACGTTGACCCTTTTGAGATGCCAGGGTGACAAACAAGTTGGATCGCATGGTATCTCTTGATGCACTCCGAACTGCATCTTGACACGGTCGTTGTGGAGCATCTCCATAATATTGAACCGTATGATTGCAGTCTTTACAATCCAAACTGCTGCATCCTCGGGGTTGGGTTCATGGTCCAAACCCAAATATGGTCTCCAGATAAACTGTGGATAAAATTAAATCAGAATAATGAAAACGTAAAAAATAAATAATTTAAAAGTAGAAAAGTTCAAAGGTACCACGTGCATCATTCGGGCCAAGGTGATCCAATAGTTTATGATATAGAGCGACATTGAATCTTGGATTGTTTCCCTAATCCATACCCGTTACACAGTACCTAAAGGAATTGAAAAATAGTTAATTTTATACATTTATTTGACGAAAGGATGAATAATAAATTATTTAAGTTCTTGACTTACTTTGTTGCGTATGGGAAAATGAATGCATTGTTGTTGACGGGGCTTAGGGACTCCATTCTCCACCAACCCCATACTTGGAGTAAGAAAGTGCATCCATAAAAAATACATTTGTCTTTTGTTGCGTTTTTACACAAAGAAATGTATAGATGGGCTAAAACAGCAGAACCCCAACTATACTTTCTTGTTTTTCAAAGTTTTTAAGCAAACTTAAATACATAAAATTTACAATATTCCCTATAATTTCGGGAAATAACAAGCTTCCAAATAGTACCATCATATAATTTATAGCTTTAATTATTCTTGATAGCTCGGACGAATTTTCATTCAATTCAAGAGTCGCATAGTGTTTTTTAATTTCGGTTAGTAATATACATTGGCCCCTAGCACCACTACCTTCTACCATATCTTTGTCTAACAGTTCCTCGCATAGAATTGGGTTGTTGAACCGATCCATTCACTGCCTTACTATTGATTGGGAGACCCAATAACATGTACACATCCTCTAGTGTGACAGTATATTCACCAATTGGTAGATGAAATGTGTGTGTCTCGGGTCTCCACCTTTCCAACATTGCAAGTATAAACTTGGAATCAATGGTACAGTTTGAGATTTTTATAACATTTCCAAAACCCGCATATTCGAGTTAGGGCACGATCAACGGGTCGGGAGTAATGTAGTTGTGTGAGAAAATTCTAAATCTTTTAGTATCCTAAATTCAAAATGTAAATAATGTAAGAGTCCATAAGATGACTAATTTTATAAAAAATATATTAATATACAAATAATATTTAAATTTTATAGCAACTTACAAATGCCGCAATGTTGTCTCTTGTGCCTCTGTGAGAATTACCCATTGCGAGAAAAGCCATATTTGAAATTGTATAAGACAATGAAAGAGTTTGTATCAGAGAGTGAGATGATTGGTGATGAAAAACAAGTGTCTCAGGCGCCATATTTATAGGCGAATTTGTATAAGAGTGAATTAATGAGGTGGTTGGTGGTTGAATGCATGCATGATACGTGCCATGTTGACGCCAAGTCAAATGGCGCCTACATGCATTTTAGAGAGTATGTGCCAGTCAAATTGGCGTGGGACAAGCCTACATGTAGAGTAGGTGGAAGCATAGATGCAGTGTAAGATGACAGTATAGGGACAATCTTATACACATGCATGTAAGCTGATAGGACATGTAGATATACGCCATCCCAGATGGCGCATAAGAACAAAATTGATAGATTTTGCCATCTCAATTGGCGAATTAGTGGTGGAGCATTTTTGTCTTATTCAAGTTTAATGAAACCTATTTATCCTACATGCATCTAATGTTATCAACACTCAAACATTAAAACATTCAAACATTCAAACATTCAAATATTCAAACATTCAAACATTCAAACATTCAAACACCAAACACAATGTCCTCTACACCATAACACGTTATCAGTGCACATTTCAATGGTGAGACGTACATTTGTCCCACCTCTGGTTTTTTATTTAGAGACACTGATAATATTTTATTTTGTTTAAACAAAAAATCCAATTTCATGTATTTCAAAAAATGATTAGAGGGGTCAAACTTGGACGAGGTCCAATGACACACATCTTCTATCAAAATCCAGTTTTTTTGTGAGATCCAAATAATATTTTATAAGGTAGAGGTTCAAGATGACGAGGACCTTCAAAATATGTTTTCTAGTCATGAGTATTATGGATACGACTCGATTGAGTTGTACATTATGCTGCAGGAGCCTCAGTTGTCACGACCAACTCAGTCACAAGTGGTTGATCCTCTCGAAGATGAACAAGAAGAAGTAGATGTCGTTGACGAAGAAGAGGAAAATGAAGAGTTAGAGTTTGACAACATGGTCAATGGTGATTCTGAAGATGATGCACTACCTGAAATACCTCCGAATGAAATATACACACCACCTTCACACATGACAAACTTCAACATGGGTGGAGATGAACCATCATCAAATGTTTTTTTTTAACCCGTACATGCAGTCGGATGAAAATTTAAAAGAGAAAGACAAATTTTGTAATAGAGAAGATTGTATGCGAGCTACAAAAAAGTTTCACGTGTTAAACTCTGTTGATTTTAAGGTAGATCGGGTAAATCCAGAAAGGTACAAGCTCAGGTGTGTTCACCCAGATTGTATGTTCAGGCTCACTGCATCATATAGGTTGAGAGGTTATTGTTGGGAGATAGGTTCTATGTCCATCCACACATGCGTTAATTCTACTCAATCACAAGATCATCGTAAACTAAGTTATGATCTAATATGTCAATAAATCCTACCTCTCATCAACAATGATCCATCATTGAAGGTAAAAACCATAATCTCTCATATCATTACAATATACAATTATACTCCATCATACAGAAAGGCATGGTTGGCAAAGACCAAGGCGATTAAAAAGGTATATGGAAACTGGGAGGAGTCACACAAAGAACTACTGCGCTACCTACATGCACTTCATACGTATTCTCCTGGAACTATTTATATTATGGAAACATTTCCAGTGTATGCCCTAGATGGTACTTCTGTCAACGGAAATGGAATATTCGGTTTACTGTTTTGGGCTTTTCAATCTTGTATCACAGGATTTGTGTCCTGCAAACCTATTATTCAAATAGATGGAACATGGTTGTACGGGAAATACAAAGGCACGTTACTGATGGCAGTTGCACAAGATGGAAACAACAATATTTTCCCAATTTCCTTTGCTCTAGTCGAGGGAGAGACTGGTGGTGCTTGGAGTTTCTTTCTCAAGAATCTTCGAACACACGTGGCTCCTCAACTTGGTCTCTGTTTGATCTCCGATAGACATGCATCTATTGAGAGTGCATACAATAATCCTGCAAATGGTTGGTATGACCCTCCTTTTACGCATGTCTACTGCATTAGACATATCGTACAAAATTTCATGAGGGAGATCAAAGATAAGGCTCTTAGGAAAACAGTTATGAATGCGGGGTATGCATTAACATAACCTTCATTCAAACATTATCGCAATGAGATCAGATTGTCAAATCCGGATA